ACGAAGCTTCGAACTTTTAAGAAACTCTCCGATATTTATTTTCCTTCGTACGTCATTCCACGAGTGGCTGTTCCTGCGGATGATTGTGGGAAAATCAGTGGAATGTGTAAGACGGGACATGACACAATCCGAAAGGACCGGAAAAAGTTGGAATTCAAAGCCAAAATCGTCAGTAAGCTGGTCGCCGAATGATGCATAAAGTTTGGGAACAACAAATACGGGAAAATTTCCATCTAAATCTGGTATTTTTCCGCAAAAAAAAAAAATTTCTTTTCTTTTCGCACTCCTCCTGCAACGATAGCTCCGGGATCAAGCTTTGCTGGATTGTTCCGACCGGTATTCTGAGCCAATCAACTTCACTCCCCCTTTACTAATACCGCGTTAGTTCTCTTCAGCTCACTTCATCATCGTAAAAAATCTCGGAAGATACAGCAAATGACCGGAACAGAAGAGGGGAAAATCCAAAGTTTCTAAATTTGTAAAAAATAAGCGGCTCCTAGAATCTATGGGGCGTTGTTCGGATCAAAATAATAATGCTTAACATACCAAAAACATCTCGAAACGGCCAAGCCTAACTAAATGCTTTCATTGGGAGAATCGCTGAGCTGGTCATCTCCTTTCAAGACATAGGCAGATCCAGGCCGGACTTCTTGGGGAGCTGGGAGGGAAGTTGGGCTCCCAGAGGAGATGTGGAGGGAGGGGTGGGGGGGACGTGGGTGGGAAGAGTCCCCTTTCACTCCGAAACTATACAAAAACTAGAAATAGAGTGGTACAACTCCAAGTTACAGTGTTATAACCGCTATTTTGAGTTACTTTAGTTTCATTTATGAAGAGAATCGGGTTTTTGCAGCACTGGTTCCTGTGGCGCTGGAGAGAGTGAAAGAGTCATCGCCTCTCGCTCCCCTTTCCCTCTCCCCTCCCCTCCCCCTCCCCGTCCCCTCTAACCCTCCCTCTCCCCCCTGGATCCGCCTATGTTTCAAGAGATGAAACGAAGTAGGGTCACCGCCAACAGACTGATCATCAAAAAAACAATGCAGCAGTAGTGGTCAAAACAACTGGAAAAGTCGCTGGGCTACATAGATGGAGAACCACCAAAGTACGATCTATAGCTGTTCCAAAAAAATTCCAAAAAATAAATAAAATTTAGAATAAAATTTAATAAAATTTATTAAAAAAATTT